ATTTCAACTGATAAATCCATTGGAGCATACCAAATTACTAACTCAAAAATTATAACTCTGTTTCATTAATCACCCAATATTCGATCAAATAGTAAGGACGGTGAAATTCCTAATGTTCTTGAATCCGTTTGGTAATCAAGAATGTAGTTTACACATGAGATTCTCCATTCTTGTGAGCTGGCAAAATCATATTTTGAACCCTATTAGTTCCATGCTCAGCATCATTTGAGAATGTTTGTGAATGATCTCTGTATATGCTGCTTCGACAGCTTGAGTGTCTAAATCTTTAATATTTCAGATCAGAGACCTGTACATTACGTCCTCTACTGAACCCTTGAGCCTTCACTGCACATACGTGTTAATAAACATGATCTCTGACTTCGGGTTTTTTTCAGAAATCGTTGCACTAATCACTCGAAACAAAGCAGTTTCTTTCATATGGTTAATCCCCCGAAGGAATGTTACATAGTTCTGACTATTTTCGTCCGCGTTATTTCTTATTACCGAGACTAGTTGATGTCATTTTGTTGTCAGCTATCATATGAATACCTTTGACTTGTCGTTCTTCACAATAACCAGTCAAACAAAAATTTCGTTGTATCCGTTTAGTTGATGTAAAAAACTATGAACGAGCGACAGTAGATTTATTTGCTAGGCCTCACAAATTAGAAGCTAACCGCGATTAATAATGTTGATTGCAGTAATGAATTATCTTCCGGCAACATTTAAAAACAAAATTATGATTCTTTAGTAAGTATGTGATATAACTGCCAACTCGGAGTTCTTTTGGAGATTGATTGACGTATAAAACCCTCCTTCAAGTAAGTTAAAAGATACTTGTTTGCATAATTAAGCATGTTATGTTAAACAAGTTAAACCTGTTCTGTTGGTCGGTTCATTCATTGTTTTTAATTGCAGTTTATTTTAGTGGTACTCACCGACAATACGGCCTTGTAAGTCGTTACCACATACATTGTGTTATTGGAATTATCTGTCGATCAGAACTGCAACGAATATATTTTCGTTATGCTTAAGGGTGCCTATCATTCACCTAACTGGATTATTATCCACCTTAACAGCATAAGCTTTCGTGAATGTGTCTAAAACGCATCGGCCTATATTTTTTACATATTTCCTTCCACCCATGTCTAATCTCAATTAACTGATTTGCTTCGGTCTTCCAAGAAAGGCCAAAAACCATCTTGGTGGCAACCCACATGGGAATTAGTTTGATTAATATAGTGTCCTGAAACACCAGCCTATAACATCTAAAGCTTAACGAGGGCTCATGAAGTGCAAGCTTGCGGGAAACCAAGGTTGGTAATCGACCACAGGCGTGGATATGTAGACAAAATATTGCCTAACCAAGACATAAATCTGCCTATGAATTCGTTGACTGTTTGACTGAGCCATTCAGGTAGGTACAAACTGGCTGTTTCGTTTACGTCGCCACACCTTATTAGCACAGAAAGATAAGACTGTCAGGACAACTCCAGTTTTAACAGTATTATCGATAATAGGAAAGACTAGACTCGAGATACAACTCGAGAAAATATGGACTAGTGGAATGAAATGTAAGAATACTGTAAAGTGATTTAGAAAGACAGGAACTAAGATAAAAAATAAATATGACCGTTCCATTGCCAGTGACCTATGTTACCTAAAAAC